TTTTTTTTTTTTTTTTTTTTTTTTTTTTTTTTTTTTTTTTTTTTTTTTGAGTTTTCGTTTTCAACATGAATTTTGGATATCAGTTTCAAATCAGATTGTACCGGATTTTTTTTTTGAACAATGTAAAAATCAGTTTTAATTGATTGTCTTTTTATTACCACCCATATCTTACAAGATTTAAGGAATCTTTTGATCATTTTTGTTAAAATTTTCATGCATGCAAAATCAGATTTATGTACTATAAACATTCGCATGTGCATGATCTGATTGATGTACTATAAACATTCGCATGACATTAATCTCACCAAATCCTTTCTGTGAAGAAACCTTTAAAAATTGCAGTATAATTTTGTTGATACTAATATAAAGAGGTTGTCTTATACATAATCTATTTAATTTAATAAAATATTTAATCTAAAGCCTTTATCTATTCTGTTTTACATTTCATTTTTAAAATAATATTATTGTGATTTATATACTGCATATTTTTATCTTGTTATTCATTCTAAAATTCAGAAAACGTCATGTAACTTCCTCATCAATATCTCCATGAAAAAGCATTATACACATTTGTTTGATATTTTTTTCTCATCATTATAAAAAATTTCTTTTAAGAAATGTTCGAATTGTGGCTATTTTTACAATGAAAACATTACTATCATTATAATTTCCATCCTCAATTTAGTTATTGCTAAGAAACACATGACAAACCTTGTGACTCTAAAGTGTACCAACATAATTATATTTCAAAGAAAAACTCATTTGCAGATTAAAGTTGTTTCCCTACTGGTAAATCCTCAATAGTTCAAGTACAAGTGTATTCGAGTATTACAATTTCATCTCACTGATAAAAATCTGGTTTTCATCTTCGATCTCGCTATTCAATTCTATTAGTAATAGTCAAAATATATGCTTGATAAATTATCCGAGAATATAAACACTAGAAATATAACTGTCAGCCGAATATGAAGTTGTCGAAGGATATGATGTGTGAAGAAGATTTCACTCATAATCATCTACCTTTAGTGATTTGGATCATTTTCGACAACCACAAGATAAAGCATCATACTTATTCAGAACCAGAAATCTAGAACATGCCGAGAACAAATATTTGCGGGAGACAAAACCATAAAATTATATACTGGTTGTGTAATAATTGTTTATCAGATTTTCACCTACGCTTTCAAAATGCGGGATTAACTTCTAAGTTAAATATTTTATGTAGCAAAAATCACAATTTATATAATTTATTTTAGAGTATGTATATATTATATAAATATGTGTACAATTTATTATGATTAGTCTGTTAAGGTGAACTAAAATTTGAAATCTTTGAATTAATCAGACCCGCATTATAATAAATTAAGTTATTTAAAATGTTAGGCATTGATTTCATTTTAATAATTTAAATGAATGTGTTGGGTTCTTAAAACTAAATAAATTGATTAGCTATTATTTAGCAATATTTCCTTATTGAGTTGGAGTGTTTTAGGAATATTAATTAATTATTTTTTAAGAAGTTAAACAATAGCATAGTATTGTAATTATGAAAGAAAAGTAAAAGCAGAATCTTAGTAAGGATTCTACTTTAATAATTTAAATTTTCCGGTTATGAGGTTTAGGGGAAGGAGTATTAGTGGTACCATCAACTAAAACATGATTTGTGCAAACATTAACTGAAATGTCATCATCAAGAAAAGAAGAACAAGTGTTTCATGTTTCCATTTGTAACATGTGAGAAAGAGTCAATAGTGCCATTACTGTCACAAAAAATTATTATGTCATTTGATCATTTCTGACGTCTTTAGAAGACGATAGTGAATGTTCATGCGTATAATTTTCTTACAGAATTCCCGTGAAACATAGCTTCACTATGTTTTGATATTAAAAATTTTCCAATCCTTTTCCCAAAAAGATGACCAAGAAATAGAGATTTGTTTGTGTAACTTAAATTTATCCCCTTCATGCTTTTGATTATGAAAATATTAAAGGCAACCAAATACTTTAATGTGATTCAGTAAAGGTGTTTGCGATAAATAATTTTTCTGGTCCATTAAACATTACTGGCTGGCATATAATTTATGAGATAACATGTTGTAAGGACACAATAACTCAAAAACTTGAATGAAATATGTGATCTAAACCGTAGTATGTAGACTACAGTGGTGTGACGGTTTTATGTTTTACCCTTTATTTATGATGTGGAGTACCAACACAAGATGTTTCATAGATGATACCTTGTTTATTGGAATATTCGGTTAAGGAGATAGTTTTGGATTCATTATCACTTAGAAATGCTCTCACTTTTGATATGGAATGTTCGACCAAGCAAAAAAAGTTATGAATGTGTTGATGTTAGTAGTTTAGAAGGTAAGAGATAGATCCAGATTATTCTAAAATAGTCATCCATACTATAATTCTCAAATAAAGGTATTTTAATACAATCTCCATATATTGCAATGAACTAACTCTAAGATATTTTTCTCAAGGTTAATGATTAATTTTATTTACTTAATACTAGGATAAAACCCGCCCTACGGGCGGGTATGCAAGTGAAAAACAATATTAAAAAATTTTTAGTTTTAATTTATTCTTTAAGTAATGTTAACATTCATCATTTATTTTTGTTACATTTTTAAAAGTCATAGACTTATCTAATCAATTAAAGAAAATTTAGTTTTAGTGCATGTAACTATTTTACATTTTAATCCTTTTCAATTATAATAATAAATAAACAAAACTTTTTGGAATTATGATTCAAATTCAGCACATAAAATATGGATTATTTCTTTCTTATATATTTTGTTTTTAATTTATTGATTTTTACTATTATGAGAGCGAACCTTAACTATAATAGGCTTTATTATGAGTATTCATATATTTCACTTAACATTTTTTATATTTTTAATTAAAAAAATTAGATATATATTATGTATAATCATTATTTCGTGATTTTTTGTTTATCTTTTATATTTTACGTTTAAATATTTTGAGGTCATGATATCCAACCTAAATTTCATTGCGATATTTTATATGATGTTAACTGGGGTATGTTCTACTCTAAATTGACAGTGTACATCTTTTATATGTTTTTTTTTTATTTTAGGTTATTTACTTTTGTTTCTGTTTATATGTTTTTGTCAAGTTGTTTGGTGATACTCATTACTATTATATTCTTTTCTAAAAATACCTTTCCTTATTACTTAATGTTTTATGAAAGTATTAAAATAGATAAATGTAATAAGTAGTGAATTTGTAGATTTATAACCTTCGATGATGTTAGAAATAGTGAATTTGTAGATTTGTAGCCTTCGACGATGTTTTATAACTTTTTTTTCTTTAGTGAGAATATAGTCTGTTTTTCCGAATTTAATGTGACTGATGTCTATAAATATTCATGAAAATAATCAATGTCCATATTCATTTTAGTTTTTCGTAAATATATTTTATAAATTTACAATTTTGCCAATTCAAATATACGATAAAAAGTGCATAGGTGACTTTAATCAATTTGTGTTTGGGTCCAAAGAAGCTTAATCCTGATATACTGAAGAGTAAGTGAAGGGTCTACAAAAAACAAAAACAAAAAAAACTCTAAATCATGAGTGCAAAACCTTGTATATCTCTGTGTTCTACAGTTCTTACAATGTCATTATGCTATCTGTCACGAAATTCTGTGAGTAAGAAACATTAGCAATTTTGACGATATAATGTTAACAAATGATTATTTGTTACCATCAAAAGGGAAATCAAAAGGCTGTGGAATACTCAGCATTTTCTTCGAGTGAAAGAAGAGAGATGGATCGTTGGCATATTCAATAGCAATTCAACTAACCACTGGTTCGGCCTAAGCTAGCTACCTATATAAACGGAAATGTTTAAGCATTTGCAAACATGGATTTTGTTAAAAGAAGAGACTTTAGTTTTGAGTGGATAACCAAAAGGAGAAGCCATAAAGGATTAGGCCAACGGATTGGATCAGCGACTTGAACGGCGGCGTCATTAACCATGCACCATGTCATCTTCATTGCTGGTCTCACATTGGAAGCTTTCACACAAAACTCCGACGTGCTCGCTCGTGGATAATAAACCACCTCAAACACTTGTCCACACGTGAGTAGTTTCTTCTAGTTGGTGAAAGTGCTCCGGCCAATCATCAAGAGATGACAGTGAGGCGTTCCCTGTTGATGCTTCGCCGTGTAATCAAGCCGCGGGACCGTTCTGGCGATTAACGAATTAAGTTCATATATTACTCTATGTTGATGCTCTCGCTCTCTCTCTCTCTCTCTCTCTCTCTCTCTCTCTTTGTGGTTTTTGTTAAGAGGAATGAACTTGTGAGTTGTGGGGAAGAAACCATTCATATTTATATAAGGGAATTCACAGGAAGTAATGAATGAGGGAATTCATTGAATGTGAGATCGTGTGAAAAGTGGGAAAATGCCATTAATGAACTGTCAATGAAGATGCATGAATCAAGTTATTTTTTTGTAACGGTACCCCAATACATTCATGGAGAGAAGAGATCTAATCATGTAGATGGCTTTCAACCGTTCTTGATTGAAATTATTCATCACCGATCTTGACTGGACGGAACTGTTGTACAGCGGCTGCTCTCTCAAAGGTTCGTAGACTGTTTTGGAGAAGAACTTTTAAGGTTATTTACTGGGTTAACACGATGGTCGTTGCTCTCTTTCAAACTGGATTTCAATGATTAAAACAGAAAGCCCATAAATTGTTAAGAGTATCCCATAAATTAAAATGCAGTGTATTAAGATAAAGGACACGTGTTGAACTACAATAACATTATTTAGTGACATGGCACTTTAAGGAGGGAGGAAAGTATACTTTATATATATAGATAGATATATTTATTCTTTACTGCTAGTTATTGAATCCCATA